TACATACATACATACATACATACATACATACATACATACATACATACATACATACATACAATGCAGACATACAGACATACAGACATACAGACATACAGACATACAGACATGCAGACACACATATATGCATACATACATACATACATACAGACATGCAGACATACAGGCATACAGACAGACATACAGACACACAGACATACACACATACAGACAGACATACAGACATACAGACATACAGACATACATACATACAGACATACATACAGTACATACATTACATACATTACATACATTACATACTTTACATACATTACATACATTACATACATTACATACATTACATACATACATACGATTTTTGGAGATGTCCCTTGGCAACGACATGCGCTTCCATGTCGCTGCGTAGCGATGTGCGGAATTCCAAGCAGATCGGTTCAATTCATGAACAAAGCTATAGTATTTTTATGTTCTAGAAGCTTCGGGCTTCTGCAAGGATTCTTTAGGGCGGGTTTAGGGTGTTTATCATTGCCTAGACTACGGCGATGATAAATGGTTGTAGTTGTAGTTTGCGGGTTTCATGGGGGGTTAGGGTTGGTTTAGGGTTGCCTTAGGGGTGGTTTAGTGCTGGTTCAGCGTGGGTCTAGGGTCGGTCAAGGGTTGGTTTAGGCTGAATTATGGCTAGTATCGGGCTTGCCTAGAATTATTTTAGGGTTCATGGTTTAGGGTGGGCTTAGTAGTTGTTTAGAGTTGGTACAAGTCACGAAAACCGTCACGACGCACCTGCGTCATCAGGGTGTTTCTAGACAAATAGGTGGGGATTAGAGCATTGCCCAACCTAAACCCTAAACCAAGCCACACTGGCCAGTTCAGAGCAGTCTGTGAGATTGTGGGGCATATGACATGCACATTAGAATTGGGATTCCTCGTGCAGCATGGGAATGTCTATTCTCTGTGAGAGCACAAACAACTCAAACAACCATGCTTTTGATAGACTCATGTTTCTAAAACACGTCGTGCCAGTGTGCTTTGTGCTCAACTTGCAAGCCAAGCGGCCAGGAGCACCTTTGCCTTGATCAAAGTAAACTTGCGCTGCATCTGTTTGATGCGGTGCTCCTCCTTGGTGCAAGTGCGGCAGTGCGCTTGGATTTCTCAGACCCCACAAGCGCGCCTCGGGGCAAAGGTCGCCTTGCGTTAGAACCTTCAGGGAATCAATGATGCCCCGTGCCGTGAGGAAATACACCAAATGGCAATGTGATTGGGCTTGTTGCCTTTGTGTAGTCATCCATGAACTGCTTCAAGGTGTAAGAGGAAAAGTCCTCTTGGTACTGTGATAGCAGGGTCACCTGCAAAGACGCAAATGTGCTCAGTCGCATTCTTGTGTGTGTGTGTGTGTTTGCGCAAGCAAGTCGCCTCAAATTTGTATTCCTCATGGTTGTTGTTGTTGGATGCCAGGGTGATGCCTGTCAAGCGTGGCAGGGCTGGCGACCTCTCCGTTCTCGCGCTCTCACCATGCTCGGCATGCTCGGCATGCTCGGCATGCTCGGCATGCTCGGCATGCTCAGCATCCCCGAGCCTAGCCCGTAGAAGTAGAGCAGCCGCCCCTGCTTGTTCAGGGCCCCGGCCATGCGGAGCCTCGAAAGTCAAAGTGCCGAGCGACTCGAGCGACTCAAGCGCTTGAGCCGCTCCTCTTGGCGACGCCAGCTTCAGACTTCTGCTCCATGAAGGCGAGCATCTTAGCGAGGCCTAGCTACGTCACATGGCCTACACGACACTCACCGAACTTCTTTCTCTCCAAGTTGCTGAACGGCCGCTTTGCCGCTGCATCCCAGCGACGGTCGAGGTTGTGCTCCGAGCTGAGCCGGCCTAACTCAAGGCCGCAGACCCGGCCACCAGACAGACAAAGTTCCGATTGTGCTGCAAAGCTGCGAAGCTTCAGATGCTTCACCGGATGTGGATCTTTTTCGACAGCCTCGAGCTCGACCCGATGCACAATGGCGTTACCGCCTGAGCAGTTCTTTGGCAAAAACCAAGCTTACATGTCGTGCTTTGCTTGGTGCGCAGACGTGATGACTTGTGAACACTTGCTGACCCTCTGCCCAGGCATGGCGCCAGGGGGCTGTTCTTCACTTTAGCTTGGTGCTGCGATGATGCTCAGGCGCTTGGAAGTGCAAAACACTGGGTGCCATGATTCTCATGATGATTCCTGGAGCGCCGTGCTGCGAACAATCTCATAGTCAGTCTCATTAGCCGCAAACGTCATGGATTTTCATGGATTTCGCATTGGACATGAACTTCTTGCGGTTGCTAAAGCATCCGAGATCTTGCTCGTGAATCGAGCAGCTCTGAGCCTTCGAAAAAAGGTGGAACTCGCTGTAGCGAGCAGCTGGCTTCACCCAGCGGTCATGATCTATTGAGTGGGCTCAAAAGCCGTGTGGCCCTTCATGCTCAAGCGGGGACGCAAAGTCCCGCTTCAAATACATGTCAACACATCTCCTAGGAAGCGCCGTGCAAAGTCCCCATTGGAGAATATCACAGTGCTGCTGCGCTGCTCTGCGCTGCTTTCGAGTCACTCGTGCAAAACATGTCTGTTGCGGCTTAGGGATACCTGTGCCTGCCAAGCAGCCCATGCCGAGGATACCGCCCTCCCCTGGGTGACTGAACTGCTGGCGCTCGTACTTGCTGGTAGAGATGTTCATGAAGTCCTCATGTTCATTGCTCGGCAAGATTTGGGCCCCTCCCAGCTGATTGCACGGGACGAACGCCGAACGCCTGTCCATCCTTTTTGTGAGCTGCAATCAAGGCACTCGCTTGCTCCGAGGGTCATCCGAGTAGCTGAAAACGATGGGCTCCGTGGAGCGGAAAGCTTCGCCTTCCATTCCGAGAGATTTTCTCGAGCCGGCCAGCGCTCCCTTTCGAGAACTTCCACGTCCGGATGGACCGGCACCGGCACCGCGCCCCGCCCCGCCTGAGGCGAAGTCCCAGGACCGCAGGTTGGTGTCCAGGAAGTTCTCGGCCAGCAGCGTGCCCGGGGCGCCCGGCCGCTCCTGGTGGCCTTCGCTCCGAAAACCGAAACCGAGGGGCGAAAAAAAACCGCCCAAACCCCTCACTCCGCCCCCGCCCAAACCGCCCCCCTCATTCGGCCCCGCCCAAACCGCCCCCCTCATTCCGGCCCCCCCTCATTCGGCCCCGGACGAAAAATGAAGGGCTCGTGCACGGAGTCCTTCAGCCTCGACTCCCAGCATGCCGGGATGTGCAGATCCACTCGCTTTGCCAAGGCGCACAGAGAAGATGCAGACCTCAAAGCGGCAGCTCGAATTCCAGCGTACCACTGTGTCAGCACCTGACCGAAGAACAAGACAAGACAGGCTGCAAGAAGTAGCAAGACATGAAGGCAGCAGTGATCGAGATATCTGCGATATGTTAGAATGTGGGCCCCCACCGACTTCGGCGTCTGTGGCGTCATGCGTGGGCTTGACGATGTCCAGGCCGAAAGTGGTCTGGAGCCGAGCGATCTGCACCTTCACCTCAACGGCCATCTCCTCGAGCACCAAATCGAACTCCGGTGGCAACCCGAACTTGGTGAAGAGCAGCCAGAACCGCCCGATCTCTTCGTGCCTCAAAACATCGCCTTTTCAAAGGAAAAACGACACCAAGCTGAGAAAACAACAAAGCGATATTCGTGCCCAGAAGCCGCTCGAAGCGCAGGTAGGCGTTGGCGCGCTCCAGGAGCACCGCCCGCACCGTGTCGATTGTGGCCACCACCTGTCACTTGGACTGGTACGAACTGGATCTCCTCTAGAGTCCTCTCATCCCCTATTCCGCCTATTCCCATCTACTCACCCGACTCGACTCGACTCGGCACTCTCGCATCGCTCCATGGACCCCGGCCGGGATGGCGGCGGCCATAGTGGCGAGCCCCGACACCAGGAGCTCCACCTCCACGTGGTGCGGCGACAAGGCCTGCTCTGCCAGCCGCCGGCGCTTCACCTCGCAACCGGATGGAAAAAAACAAAAAGAAAAAGAAAAAGAAACCAGCGGATGGGGAAGACCGTGTCCGGCCTCCGAGGGCGCAGGCAGAGCTTGCCTCACCAAACATGCAGAACATGCACACGCATGCTCAAGTCCCGAAATCAGGAGACATCACGAGCGCCTGGAGCGCTCCAGCGCCTCCAGCTCCACCAGCTGACGCTGAAAGCCCACGTTCTCCAGGATCCAAGGCCGGCAACTCGCCTCGGCCCCTCCTCTCCTGAAAACGCCCTCCTTTCTTTCAGCCCTCCTTTTGTCTTGCCCTTTCGAACATTGAAATGAGCGCATGCCGGGCTGCGCAGGTGGTGAGCACCTCCTGCAGCGGAATCCCATGCAGGATCTGCACGGCGATGGCGAGGGTCGCAGACCGGTTCTGCCCCGCCACGCAGAAGAAGAGGACATTTCCACCTGTCGCAGGTACCAACAGCGCTGCGGGCACGTGTCCTTCACTTGACCTTGCCTGATTTGCGAATGCTGTCATAGAAGTGCTTGGCAGTCTCCAAATGTTCGGACCGCTGTCCATAGCGGTCATGTAAAATCGGATAGCTGTGATTGTCCTAGGGACTCGGCAATGCCGAGTGCTCGCCAAAATATTTCCGTTGCAACATGTCTCGAGTGTCCTGACTGACGTTGGTATACTCGTAGGTGATGCCTGGGAACCCGTGCAAGAAGCTAATCGAAAGTGGTAAGGGAGCCATCAAATCCACAGGTTGGTCAGTGCGCGCAAAACATGGCAAGCTGCACCAGAGGCAAGAAACTCGCAATTTCAGGGTCACGGAAAGCAATCAGAATGTGTGCCAAGCAAACACGGGCAGATTCTGGGGAGCTCATGACAAGTGTAGAGCCCTTGGAACGAGGCCAGGCATGGAGAGGTTCTGGGATTCTGTGGTAGGAACAAAAGGCTCACTTCCCAAGCAACATTTGCATCATTGGCTTGAGCAACAAGCTCACCTTGTTCAATGTGAAACCTAATTTTTCCATGCTCAAGCAAGCACAGTTGCCGTTGGAGGAGTACACGTCCAGGTTGAGGCTACTGATGCCAGTAGGTGCGCAGTTCAAAGCGCCTTTGACCTCGGCCCATCAAACGTCTTTGGCATATTGTGGCTTTTGTGGACAGTGCCTTTCTTTGTATGGCTGCATGTGTGTGTGTGTGTGTGTGTATGTGTGTGCGTGCATGTGGAGCCTCGTCAATCTGATCTGAGTCACAAACGGTATTAAAATGGTCTACCCAGAACCATGTAAAGAACTAAGAAGCAGCTATTTATGGTTGGGATTATCCCTAACTACCCTTCATCTACCCGGTTTTGTGGCTCATCTGCTCAAAACTTGGTGCTGACAAAGCACGCCCAAGGACACCAGATGTTCCACATCGGTGGCATGCTTCTTGTTGCCCACAAAGAGGCCTTCACCCACCTGCGCTGGATGCGCATCCACGGTGTCGGCAATGGGCTGCGCCACCAAGCCGCGCAGCGTCCGCAACTGACCTTCTACATACTCCTGGCGCAGCTTGTCACGAAGCGATGAATTTGTTGTGTCATATGTCTGGTGCCGCACGTGCCGTCGCACGTGCCAAACAGCAGTTCCCAAGGCCTCGCTGATCTCCAGCAGGCCGTCGCCGCTGCCATGCCCGGCGCAGTTGGCAGTGCCATTCGCGGCTGGCCCATTCGCCATGGCGAGACATGGGCGGCAATGCCAAAGCGAAAGGAAAGTGGGGAGACTGGGCATGGCCGAGTGCACAGTCCACTTGCCAGTTTTGCAGAATAAGGCAAATCATAGGGGAAACTGGCACGTTATCCTCTAGCGGAGTTTCAAACAAACTGGGTGTCTTTGCGAGAAGTCTGGTTTGTATTCACATCGCTCAGCTGTGTCACAAGCTTGGGCGCGTGCATTTCTCATGACAAGAGCACCGACGCAGACCGATGCGCAGACCGCAAACCGACATCAAGGCCAAGGCTTGGCGAGTGCCCGGGTCGCGGTGCTCTAAGCGTGCCTCCGCCAGCTTAATCGCCTCACGCGCACTACACACGCGCGGCTCGCGTCAAACTTCAAGATACCTCAAGTGGGTGTCCTTTTGCGTCTTTCCTGTGTATCTCTGGCTGCAAGCAAACTTGTGGGCGTTTGCGCAACAGCGTCCGAAGCTACTGCAAGCGAAGTACGAAACTGTACACTGCACAATTGAGAGGGTGTGTACTTCAAAGACACAAGAAACGGGCTTGGCTCACTTCGGTCTGTACGTGATATTGGTGCCAGCCGGCCGGGCCGGATCTTCGGATCTTCTCATGAGGCGGCTCGCTTTCTGCTGGCCCTGGGCCGGGTCTCCCAGCTAGCCGGGGGTGGGAACTTCTGGAGCTTCTTCCAGTGGCGGCGGATGAAGCGGTCGTGGCAGGGGTCCGAGGGCATTGGCTTCTGGGGCTCCTTGGGCAGCATCGCCTCAAGCGCCTCCAGCTGGACTAACGCCCTCAGCAACGCCTCACGCCCCATCTGTGTCAGGCGTGACGTGCAGCTGCGCTCGCCCTCGCCCCGCTCGCCTTCAATGCCTCGCTCGCCGCCTTTCATCGCGCTCGCGCTCTCGCTGGCCTTGCCCATGCTGTGAGGGGAGTCTAGGAAGGAACTCGGGAGCTGAGAGGCGCAAGCTTGGGCCGAGGGCATCGCACATGTCGCATTGGATTCTCGCCAGCGCGCGCCAAGCGCCAAACTGCGCCAAGCGCCAAACTGCCGTGTCAGAAATGGTTGCCCCCGCCTTGCGATGACCCACTCCACAAAGCTCGGCCAGGCCGTAGATTGCGGCCATGCGGGGCAGCGGGTCAAAGTCCTCTCTCTCCCTCTCTTGGCGCGCTTGGCGCCCTTGGCGCCCCGGACGTGCGGAACCGGATGGAACCGGATGGAACCGGATGGAACAGGATGGAACCGGATGGATGGAACCGGATGGATGGAACCGGATGGATGGAACCGGATGGAAGGAACCGGATGGAAGGAACCGGATGGAAGGAACCGGATGGAAGGAACCGGAGAACCGGATGGATGGAACCGGATGGAAGGAACCGGATGGAAGGAACCGGATGGAAGGAACCGGATGGAACCGGATGGAAGGAACCGGATGGATGGAACCGGATGGAACCGGATCGAACCGGATGGAACCGGAAGGAACCGGATGGAAGGAACCGGATGGAACCGGATGGAAGGAACCGGATGGAAGGAACCGAATGGAACCGGATGGAACTGGATGGAACGGATGGAAGGAACCGGATGGAACCGGATGGAACCGGAAGGAACCGGATGGAAGGAACCGGATGGAACCGGATGGAAGGAACCGGATGGAACCGGATGGAACCGGATGGAACCGGATGCACGGATGGAAGGAACCGGATGGAACCGGATGGAACCGGATGGAACCGGATGGAACCGGAAAGGAAACGGATGGAACCGGATGGAACCGGATGGAACCGGATGGAACCGGATGGAACCGGATGGAAC